TATAGATGATTTTAATTGATTAATTAATTAATTTAAAATTAATCTTTATAATTTTTTATATAAATTAATTAAAAAATTAAGTTATTTGAAAGGTTTAGAAATGTGATAATAACATTTTGATGCCCACCAGGTTCGAACACGTGTTTCCATGGTGATAGGTGAAGTGACAAACCAGTCCAGCTCAAGGTTTTTAAAACCGGATCGGTTATTGAATCGTTTTCAAGTCTGGTTTTTGGTTTGATCGATTCAACCGGTTGAATCAATGAACCGACTGGTTCAAATAACAAGGGAAATTTGATGAGAGGGATAGATAATTTTGTAATATCATTAAAATTAAAGGTTAAAATCGATATAAGAAAGGAATAATGAGGGTGAAATTGGAAAAAATAAAAAGAAAATTGCATGAGAAATTGAACCGGTGGTTTTTTTGGTTCTATCGGTTCCACTAGTTTTGATCGGTTTTGAACGGTTTTTGACCGGTTTTGACTGATTTTGACCTCAAACGATTTTTTGTGTGAACCGAGCCATTTTCATTATCGATACCAACCGACTGGTTCAACCAACCGGTCCGGTCCGATTTTAAAAACCTTGGTCCAGCCACTACACTTACCTTGTTAAATTATCACACCATATTATATTTATTCATATGCGCTTAAACCGATGGTTTGAACGGTTAAATCGGTTAAACTGATCAAACCAAAAACCAGAGGTCAAAACGGTTTGACCTTCGGCTCGATTTTCAAAACATTGCTAAATTGGTCTTTATATACAAAAACATGTAACATATCTTATTATTAATATAACACGTAATCATTAAATAATAGTTTTTTTATTATTAAGTAACAGATATATCAACTTTTTTTAACAAAAAGACTAACTTAAAACTAAATTTTAACTAATGATTCAAATAATTTAATAATAATTTTCTTTTGCTGAAAATAAGAAATTTTGAATTCAGATCATATGATTTGTGGGTGAAGTAAGATAAAAGATGAGAGAGAATTATTTCTCGTTGTACAACCAACATAAAAAAAAAATTAATTTTAGAACTTTAGAGGTTAAATAATTTTTTTTTTAATTCAAAAATTAAATTAAAAATCTGTAAAATAGTTAAACGTCCAAATTAGAGGTTTAACCAAGAAAAGAAAATTTTGAGAAAAGCGACTTGAAAGCCAAACGGACTCATGAGGATAAGGTGGGGTTTGCCTTTGCTTGTTTCACACGCGTTTCCTACGCCAGCTAGTTACCAAGTTGTACTGCACTTCCAAGACGTAGCCAAGTGTCAACTTTCCTTTCTCTTAACCTCTTTTTCTGTTTTCCGCATTTCTCTCAACTCAACCCTTCATTTTCCTAACCTCTCTCCCAGACTTCCGGCCGATCTCAATTCCGTTCGTCGCCGGTAAATCCCTTAACCCTTAAACATTATCACCGACTTATTAGTGCATTAACATCCTTCCTTCCTGTTTGTTTGCTAAGAAAACTGAGTTGGAAAACGAAAACGAAAAGGAAATATGAATCTGGAAACGAAAAATTCCCCTTTTGTTTTAGAATTTTCCTCAAGGATGTTCACCGCATGATTTAGTTCTGCCTGGTTGAGACGAGTATTGGGTCTCTGTCAATTTTTTGTCTTTTTTGATTCTTGGGAGATTATTTGTTTTAAATTTCATGCATGTAATTTGGAAAAGGAGGCAAATTAATCATTTTTTTTTTCTTCTTTTCCATTTGAAAAGGCAGGATTTTCTTTGAGAATTTTATTCATTTGATTAAATTTTATTTTTTTCTGGTAGAATTTGTTATTTTTAAGTACATGCACGGGAATTGGAGGAAGAAAAATATAATTTTGGCTTTTTTTTTTTTTTTTCACGATTCAGGTTGAGATTTTGATGTGTTTGAGTAATTTCCATTGGAAAGATGAAGTTTGGAGATACTTTTATGGAGTACCTTCATGGGGAACAGGAGTGGTTTTTGCATAAGTGTTCTCATATTGAGTATAAGAGGCTCAAGAAAGTTCTCAAAAGCTGCAGGACCTGTAAGGTATTGCATGATGACTCTTATAGAACTAATCAGGGAGATGAGGAGAATCCTGCTTTCTCCCAAATCTGTCAATGCCAATCTTGCCCATGTAAGTCTTCTTTTTCCTTCCTTTTTTTTTTTAGTTTGTTTTTTTTTATTATATTTTATATTCAAACATGTATGATCTTGTTGAAGAAGACTCAAATTGTGGCTTAAGACTTGGATACTAATTGGAGACTCAAATTGGGAATATGGATCTTGTTAATAGTTTAAAGTTCATATTTTGATTTTGGAGTAGTTTCCAAGATTGAGTGTTTGCATTTTGCAGTGTGTGACCAGATGTTTTTCTCTGAGCTATTGAAGGAAGCTACAGATATAGTTGGATGCTTTAGGTCTAGAGTTAGACACTTGCAGCATCTTGATCCTTATGTTGCTAGCGGAATACAGAGATGTGTTTTGGGGTTACGACAGTGTTTCAAAAATGATCAACAATCCATGGTACAAGAAGGACGAATGTTGATTGAATATATTACAATGAATGCAATTGCCATCCATAAAATCCTAAAGAAATATGATAAAGTATGTATCATCCTTTTCTTTTTTCAGTAGAATATTGCTGATCTGGTTGTGACCATCTTGTATCAGACTAGGGCTCTAAGACTGTTGCCTAATGTTATGTTTCAGGTTCATAGCTCTGTAAATGGGAAGAATTTCAAATCCAAGTTGAGGGCTGAACACATAGAGCTTTTGCAGTCACCTTGGCTTATGGAATTAGGAGCTTTCTGTTTGAATTTTAATGGGTCCGATGGTGAAGAGTTCAGTCAGCTTTCTGGTCGTTTTTCTTGCGACTTCAATGTTGCACAATCTGTGATGACTCTGATGCTTCCAAACTCAATAAAAAAAGAATATGACCTGACTTGTGCTATTTGCTTGGTAAGATCTGACTTTCAATGCATAGCACAGAACACATAGCATGGTGTTTTGATTGTGGGTTTTTTCTTATATCTTTTACCTATCATCTCTCAGGAAATTGTTTTCAATCCATATGCTCTGAGTTGTGGTCATCTTTTCTGCAAGTCATGTGCTTGTTCAGCTGCTTCTGTGCTGATATTAGACGGCCTTAAAGCTGCAGGTCCTGATTCAAAGTGCCCAATTTGTAGAGAGGTTTGAACTCATCATTAAATTGTTTTCCATTTTAAATTTACATAATTTATTTCTTTTGCAAAATCTAAGTGCTTATTAGGCCATCGCTCATCTATAAATGCTGGAGATCTATTCCCTTTTATTTGATTTAGGTTATTAAAATTTGGTAATCTCTTTGCAATGTTTATAATTGCCTCCAAATTGAAACCATTAATTTGTTACAATTAAGGTTAGTTTATCTCTTGAGAATGCAAATCTGGACTGATTCTCATGAGAATGCAACTACGGACTTGAATTTAAACAATGAAATAAGAACAGCTGAATGTACTAATGCTTATGCTATTTTTTAACTGTCATGTGCAGGCTGGAGTATATGCTAAGTCAGTTCACATGGTAGAGCTGCATCGGCTAGTGAGAACAAGGTGAAGTAATCTAAAAAACTCATTCTATAGTTGTCAGATTCAAGCAATTCGATTTTCTGATTAATAGAAAGTCTTTCAGATGCAAGAAGTATTGGGAAGAGAGACAAGCTGTTGAACGTGCTAAAGCACTAAAGCAAAACAAGGAGTTCTGGGATGCACAAACCAAATCTATGATTGGCTATTGATTGTTGTTTCTCTTCTTCAAGTTGGAAAATACCTGATTATCCCAATACATATTCTATCCTTATGAATTGGAGCATGCTGTTCAAATTCATTTAAATGTTTAAGAGAGCTAGAGGTTGTGAGAAATCTCCTGTTCGTTTTCCTGTTATTCAAGTTGACTGCTTTTGCACCTTTATGACCTTCTATTGATCCATCCAATAATGTGTTGAGTTCATAGGCATCTTTTACAGCCATCAAGCCTGCATAATGCATTTCGAGAAAAAAAAAAAGAAAAAAGAAAAAAAGAAAAAAAACCCTGCATAATGAATAAATGAAAAAGTGTTGTGCAGTTCGGATAAAAGTGGGTTTCTTGATATTAAGGTTATTTTTCATTTAACTATTTTTATTTCGTAATTTAATGCAGTACGAACGGCAAAATTGGGAACTTATAAATAAATATATTCCTTTGCCAACTTGTTTGAGCATAAATTCTCTCCTTCCTGTTTTATTTGTTTGTTTCTCTATCTTGGAATTGTTAGTTAGAGCTAAATTAGGTTGGTATTCACTCATTTGAAAACATTCATTCTGTATTCTGAGATTAAAATTGTCAATTTAGAGAATGTCAATGTCAACCCATGATAAGTAGCGATGGCAGTTCGAACAGAAAATGTCCACTTGCGCTAGAATGGGACCTGAAGTGGGATTTTACCTATCATAGGATGGTACATATCCCTTCTTGGGCGTAAACTCCTAAAACACCCCTAAACTCGTTATCTTTGAGGATATTCGCCCCTCTACTTAAAAAATAAAAGTTTTGGCCCCTTAACCTGTATGTAAAGTTTACCGAGGAAAAACCCTTTCATTAGAACACCGTCAAAATAGAGAAAGGAATAATTGCAGCTAAGTTCTTAAAGTAAAAATTTCAAAATGGACTTTGGAATATAAATATTGATTGTTGTCAGTTATAAAGAATTTAAGCATACTAATTATAGCAGTTCTAAAGATGTAGAAGAAGTATTAAATTTCATTATAGATTTGTTATATCATGTATTTTTAAAAGTAGAAAAAAATAGAAAAATTATTAGAAGGCTTTATTGAAATAGAAGTATTAGATTTAAATAATGAAAGTAAGTTGTTATTAAAATTTTTAGAAGAAAACCTCAAAAATATGACTATCAAAGGAGTTCAAGAAAAGGAGATAAAAAATATGAGATGTGGATGTTTGACTAGCGAAAGTTCAAGTTAGATCCACATGAACATCTAAAACCAAAAGGAGAAAGTATGGCTATGAAAGAAATTCTTGAGAAGTGGGAGAAGGCAGAAGGTGTTGAAGAAATGATGTATTGGGAGCATGAAGTATAGGAATTAGAATTCCTTGAGGAAGATATAAAAACTACAAAAAAAGGAAGAAGGAGACCCTTTTGAAGGAGATGGGCCATCAAGTAAGAAGGAAGAACAAGGAAAATAGCAATTAGATGATGAAGAAGTGATGAATCAATATGCTGAAGCTTACAGGAATTATTTAAAGAAAGAAAGAGAAAAGTCTAGGAAAGTACCTCCACCTCCTAAGCTTGTAGAATAAACATTAGTTGTAAACAGCCAGAATTTCATCTTTATGAGAGAGACAGAACCTGGAAAGATAGAAGGACTAGTAGGAGAAGGAAAGTATAAGAGTCTTGTTAAATATGAATTGATACCAAAGTTGGAGAGGAAGATGCAAGCAATCTCAACCACAAGAGTGTACTTAGATATAGATTGTGCCATTAACCCAAAGAAAGAAATAGAATATTGGACACAAGCTAGTGATTTAATAGTCAAAGGAAATGTTGCTCGGGATTGGACATTTGGTAAAGGTTATTTAGAAGCAACACTTAGAGGAAATGCCAAGAGTATTTGGGAAGGAAAATGATGTGTGTACATCCGGATCTAACATTCGGGTGTGCACACATCATATAAAAAAAAAAATGCCCATCACCCGGTCCAAATTTTTTTTTTATGTGGGGGGTGCACACCCGAGTGTTGGATCCGGGTGTGCACCAATCATTGTCCTTTTGGGAAAGATATAAAGATGCACCTAACTTGGATGCTAGGACAAGAGACAAGCCAAAATTACTTTATTGGATGGCTTGAGAGTTTAAGAAAGAATTTTGTGGAGAGCAAGATATTGAAGGATTATTTGAAAAGAGCATAAGAGAGAAGTTAACAAATTAAAAATATGTAAGATGGGTAGATTTGATGAATATTATTATGAATTTTAGAAATATTATTATAATTTAAAAAACTTTGAAACACCCTTTTGGATAGATCAATTCTTTGGAAATTACCAAACCCATGGAACAAATTAATAATGGAAAGATATGAAAAATACCTCAAAGAGGATGATGAGAGAATAGACATGCTAGGGTTAAGAGCATAATTTATTAAAAAGATACTTAGAGAGTATTGCACAAACACCTTAGCAATAAAAGATTCTAAAAAGAAACTAGAGGATAGTATAGATAAGAGTAGTTGTGGATATCTAGTGGATATGCCTGAACAGTAAGGTTGTGAAGTTAAAAGGAAAAAGAAATTTAAAAGTATTTTAAAAAATTAGATAAATCTAAAAGATATAAAAAGAATTTTAAAGAGGGAAGATTCTTCAAAAGGAGAAAAACTTTTGGAAACTTTAAAAACTCTAAAAATTATAAGAAGAATCCACCATGCCCATTTGGGAAACCAAAGTCAGAATGCACGTGTTGGATTTGCAAAGAAAAATGGCATATAGCACTTGATTGCCCAAAAAAGAGTATAAAGCTAATAAGAGCATTTGATGAATTGGATCCAGAAGTAGAAATAACATCTGAAAGTGAGTTAGGAAGAGAAATTCTTACTATTACATGCTCAAACTGCCATTAGTTGATCAAATTAATTCCCATCAAGTTTATTATTTAATCTTCACTTACAAAACAATGAGATAGTTGTAAATTTAGGTGAGACTAAGCTATAAAGTAAACATAAAAATTAATTTTTAAGTCAAAAAAGGTATGTAAATGTATATAAAAATTAAACTTATCAAGAATTCTTAAGGAACCGATTAGCAACTCAAAGATTAAAAAATGACATGAACACAACTCTTGAAATGATAGGTCAATGTAGGGACCACATGCAAAAGTATTTCAAATTGGCAAAAGTGATAAACTAGGGTACAAATGTGGAAGAAAAAATAGCCACAATATGGGATGAAGGAGAATCTTTAGTAACCAAAGAAAAGTCAGCATGCAAGACCATGGAGGAAGAAATGATCATAGAACTCAATAATGAAAAAAATATCTTAGAAGATGACAACTATGATGATAGTTCCTACTGGTAGAATATGATAGATGAGGAGTGGCACAACAGTAAAAACATGATAGAAAAATAAAAGCCACTAAGAATCTCATTAGAAAAAGGACCACTATATAATTGTACTACACTCAAGAGATTTGAAGTTTGGATTTGAAATTTGAATAATTGTACTAGGACCTTATCTCTTAATAAATTATTTGTGAAATCTAAAGTTGAAATCGTCCCATATTGCTTGTAAAAAGGGCATGGATTGCATCTTGTAGTTGGAGAGTCGAAGAGTCAAGTGTGAAAGAGAAAAGGAATTCTGAGAGTCCTTAGAGATTGAGTGTAAAGTGTGTAAAATATTAAGTTTGTACCATCTACACTATCTATTAGAAGCTTCCATCATAGCTAAACAAAAAGGACTATTAGAGCCTATAGAAAATAAAGTAATGTGAGAGTTCATCTTAGACTAGTAGGTGATGTTCGAATCTATGATCAATAGTGTGAATATTATAGGAATAAAATAGTAAGAATTTTAGTAGAAATCAGTGATATAGAAGATCTTGAAGACTATTATCTACAAAAACATATTAAAAAATTAGAGTACATTGTAATAGACTTAAAAGTAGATTTAAAAAGAATAAGGTACACTAAACAAATGTTATCTTTATTAGCAACATAAAGTGCGTCTTGACTGAATTTGTCCAGTTTGTGTAATAGTAGTTAGAGTTTGGTATTAGAGACTAGAGTTTTAGAAACTTAGGACTCAAGTGTAATATTTAAGGAAGTTAAAGAA